ACCTTGGTTACTTACTGCTTTGTTGTTTAGTAATGTTTTTTATATCACCATGTGATTTATTCTCAGCTAGGAGTTCAGGCCCATATAAGGCCATGGAACTCCGTAAACCTGAAACTGATGACCTGATGAGAACAAGAAGAGAGAGAACTACTAACAAGAAGAGAGAGAGATCTTGAATCGAAGGAGTATATGGGGATGCGAAGCAACAAGGACTATAATCCCTTAAACACTATATGGAAACAGTTCATTTTCCCTATTTATACGTCACTAAAAAGGATGCGAGATTTATTTTCCGCTCAGTAAGGAAATTGGCGCGAACAAAAACTGGGATTAATAGTATCCCCTGAGTGCCGAGAGAATTGCAGCTAATAAATATCAAAACGTTTAAGAGATTGGAGAAATAAAGTCAGATTTTTTTTGCAATCAAGAATTTTAGATAAAAAAGCTTTGAATGTGATATTATTTTCATCGATATTCAAGTTTTGCCAAAGATGTAATCTGGAGGTGGAATATTTTCTGCATCTTAAAAGAATGTGTAAATGATCATTTACTTCATTACGGCTGTTACAGAAAGGATTGGAATCTAAGTTCTCCTTATTGTAGATTATTACGGAGATCCTTGGCCGCGTAGCGGCCTCTAGCTCCTTCTTTGTAAAATGTTGAAACATAGCGGTGGTCTCATGCCCTTTGAGTTAATAAGCAAAATAGATAATTAAATGCCCTTTTTTTAAAAGAGAATTATTTATCTAATAAAATTATAAAATGAAAAACATCAAAAATTTCAAAAATGTAAATGTTGATGGAATCAGTTGCATGTAATAACCCCGAATGAACAAAGGTCAAATTAGGAGAAAAGCGAACTTTTTTCATCTAGGCAGTTGTAAGGAATTAAATTAAAATATTTAGAACAGTGCGAGGTCTTTTGCTATGTTTGCGGGAAGAAATATCATAATCGTAATTTTGTAGGATATTTAATACAGGGTTATTAATGTTTCGCATATCATTATAGAATTTAGTAGAAATTTTGTGAACAAATTGTCTTAAACTTGGAATCGAGAGAGCTCGTCTAATATCGTCATTACGAAAGTACCAGGGTGAATTCGTTAACATTCTGAGAGCTTTGTTCACAAGCCTTTGAATAATTTCAAAATTTGTACGTGCGACAGAACCCCAAACTGGGCTTGCATAAGCTAATACTGGACGAAGATGAGAGAGATATATTAGAATTTTGAGATTAAGAGGTAAAGCTGAATTTCTATTGATGAAAGGGTAGAGAATTCTAAATTGAGTATTGAATTTATTTCTAAGGTTGTAGATATGCGCTCTGTAGTTAAGTTTACGATCAAGGATAATTCCTAAGTACTTAGTTTCTTTAGACCAGGTGATATAATTATTGTATATTTTTATATTAGGAGGGTTATAGGATTTTTTTCAAGTGAAAAGAACTGCTTCAGTCTTGTCCACATTTAATTTTATCTTCCAGTTAATGAGCCATTTTTCTAAATCAATGATATAATTTTGCAAATTTTCCTGGATGGTGCAAGTTTTTCGGCCTTGCGTTAAGATTGCAGTGTCATCAGCATAAAGACTAATTTTGATATTGTTCTTTTGTGGAATATCGTTGATAAAGATAGAGGAAAGGAGCTAGAATAGAGCCCTGGGGCACACCAGCGTGAATATCACGAATTGAGCAATCAGTATTCCCTACTGCGACAACAAAGTGTCTGTCTGAAAGATAGTTACGAATTACTTGAATCAAATAAGGAGAGAAATTGTAAGAAATGAGTTTGTACATCAATCCATTAACCCAGACTCTATCAAAAGCTTTGGCCACATCAAGAAAAATTGCAGCAGTTTCATATTTCCAGGTAAATCCTTCAACAACAGTTTCTGTGAGATGGAATCTAAGTTGAATCTATTTAACAGGAAGAGAGAGAGAAAAGTTCAGAGAGGAAAAAGTTCCTAAACCGAAGTACGATTAGTTACAGTTAAGAGAGGTAAAGTGTTCACGTGATAAACAAATCGAAAGCTCTAGACATCATTTTCGACACAAGTAATGACTCATTATGCATTCATTAATTGACTTAATGTACTCTAAAGATTTCCATGGTTATTTCGCGCAGATTGGCCAATCAATAGCATATTAGATTATTGCATTGCACTTTTGTTGTTGTTTTTGTTGCTTATCCCCTTGATTTAGAATCCGAAACCAAGTCCAGTAGATCATGCTGCATCAATAGATCATAAATGGTCCTCCCCTCATTCAACAGTTGCCTCACAGAGGCACCAATACAATCGTTGAGATGATCCGCGATAGTTGAACAATGACAATGGGTATATGTCTACTCGTCTCCATTGAAGGTCAAACTCTTAGTGAGGCCAGTCCTTAGTCTAGCTAAAGCCGTTTGAGCAGATCTAGGACAGGAGCCCTGCAAGGACATACCAGGATATTTAGCGGCGTACCATGCATGAATTGGTGGCGACCTCCAAGCGGCATTCATTCAGCTGCTAAAGTCCTGGAATGAACCTCTGAATCTAACAGATTGGAAGAAGAAGCTTTGGGAAGTTCACAACCTTCCCTAGCGAGCAGATCAGCAATTTCATTTCATTTCCACATGGGAGGGAATCCACTGCAAGCACACCGATCCGATCTGCACTATATCCTGCCCCAATTTGTCCAGTATGCTTGGCCAATCCTTCAAATACTTTATTGAGCTCTTACTATCAGCCTTTTTTTTAAAAATCCAAAAGAAAGTAATTTGAATAAGCTTATCTGCAATTGAAGATTGCAAAAGATTCAAATCAAAGAGGGTTAAATTTTATTGGGAAAATGTCCAGATGTATGTTAGGGTTTTAATCACAATAATTAGAAATGTTGGAAATTTAATCAATAAATGTTTTTTATACAATCCCGTTTAAATTCTTACTTATATAATATTTTTATATATAATTTTTATATATATATAATATAGATAATAATTTTATAATTAAATGTATAAACATAATGGTTTATACATTCAACAAAATAATTCTATTTTTAGAGTGCAACATTTCACACAGATACAGAAGCGAAGTTATCGTGTATGATATTTTTCCTAATATTAACGAAGAACCACAGATGAAACTTAGAATTATGGTGGCTGGTCCAAACAAACCCGACAGCTCTTTTCTGAGATCTGACAAAGAATAAAGCCAATCTTTTTCCAACAGATATTATAGTTTACACCTAACGCTAGATTAAAATAAAATAGAAGTTGATTATGCTTCTCAAAGAGGCTTGATTGTGTGTTTACTAACTGAACATTTTGTGTTACTGAACATATTGATTGTTTTCCCAAGAACCAGAAGCGAACCGCCAAATAAGTCGAAAGTTTTCGACCCCTGGACTTTGGATTAAAACAACCGTAGAGTCAGAGTTGGGAGCAAAGAATCAGGAGATGAGTAATTTGTAACAAGTTGGAGTCAGGAGTCAGACTCAAGATTCCTTTATACATATAATTTATTTTTTCCAAAATTCTAGGAGTTAATGATAAAGTTTAAGAGGCAAATAAAATGTATCCTTCAATAATACAGCCCCTTCAAAGACTGTTACTGCTTTAAAAGTGTACCAAGTAAGGGCTGATAACCTTTTCTTAAGTAGTGAGCTTATAAAATGAGCTGTACAGTAGAACCTCTTTAAGTCGAACCTCGATAAGTAGAAAACCTCCAAAACTCGAAAAAAATTTTGTTGCCTTCCCTTTAAGCCCCAAAACCTCCGTTACTCGAAATTTCAACCCTCTATAAGTCGAAATAATTAGTTAATCCCCACAAGCCATTTTACTATATATTTTCCCTCCGTAAGTTGAAAAAAAAATTGTACCTTTGTATCTCGAATATTAGCAATGTTTGATTTTACAACCTTTACAACTTGATCATTTGAAACTAATTACCTCTATAGCTCGAAGAAAAATAAGTTACCGACTTTAAGGATTTGCCGACAATGCACGTCATTGTTTCTTAGAAAAAATGTATGAGTATACATTAAATAGAATTATAATAAGAATATTTCATAGAATAACCAATTCTATGAAATATTCTTATTATAATTCTTATTCTTATAATTCTCAAAATAAGTCAGAAAGAATCTAAACCTCTACGAGTCGAATATTTCATTACAAAATCCGCGTAAGTCGAAGTCCTCCATAAGTCGAAAACTCTATAACTCGAATTATTTGGCGTCTCCCCTGAAGTTCAACTTACAGAGGCTCTACTGTATTAGATCAACCATGAAAGATTTTTTAGAAGCTGTTAAAAACAAAAAAGATTTAATGTATTACAAATATAGCATATTTCTGGTTAAAATGTACAATTTTCCTTTTGCTTGTCTTAAGCTATTCTATAATATTTCGATACCTGCTAATTTGGTACCGTTATATTTATAGGATATATACCTTTTTTATAAATAAATTTAGAATACAAGAGTGTCTTTAAATACAATATCTTCAAAGTGGTAAAAAATAACTTTGTTATAAAAAACTATTCTAATAAATATATGAGTTCATTAAAAGTCAATGAATTTATTTTTTATTCTAAATCCTTTAGTAAAGATCAAAGTACATAAAATTACGGAAAAGTGTCTGGATCCATGGGAAAGGAGTCGTTATAAAAATTCGACTGAATAATTAGGAGTGGGAATTTTTTTTTTTTCCTTATTCCTAAGAGAAACATTCTGTTGTTTGTAGTTGTTTCTTATCCCACTTGGCTGGCCAAGCCCACGAGGCCATACGTACTCATGATTGAAGGGGAAGGAAGCCAGCTTCTGTTGTGATGGAGCACCCGTAGGTAGAAATCTGACTTTGCCTCCGTGACGCTCTTACAGTCATAGGAGACCAGGACCTACGGCTTAAAGTGGATTCCGAACCACTACAAGCATCCATGGCACCGCCGGGATTCGAACCCGAAACCTGTGGCACCGAGCGTTAGACACACTCGGCCAATCAGGTCCCAAAATTGTGAATGCCAACGGCACGCAGTGTTCCCAGGTGGCCACCCACCCAAGTACTGACCGCGCCCAATGATGCTTGACTTCGGTGACAATTAACCCACAGCATTACCACCAGATGGCAGCATGAGCCAAGTCTTAAACGAAATATCACCTGTTGATGTTCTGCCGCTTTGTAAATAAGGTTTTTATATTTAATCAAGTCAAGCCACCTGCGTGTGGCCTATTCAGTTCCCACCTTCGTGTGAATGATTCTTATTTTGTAATCCCTTGTGTAACTTGTCCTTTTTATTTTAAATAAATCCGAGTTCCTCGGCAATCCCCCCGACGTCAAGTCACGTCACCCCCCCCCCCGTATTGTATTCTACTATCTCATTATAATTACTGTTATACCACTTTCTCATTAATTTGCATCCCCGCTAATTCTTCTTATTTGCTAGTAATTGGGGCTAAAACCTTTTTGGACACGGAACCCCTTTCCCACCCCACCCCTTCGAATGACTTGACTTCGGTGATCTAACGAGAACCGGTATATTCAGCATGGTACGGCCGTTGGCAAGTCATGAAGCATCCAAAAGCCATATTCATGCTTATGTCGTTTACGAACAGTTGAGCAGGCATGGGGCTACAGAGAAAATAACTGATAGTACAATGGAGGGTGAAACTAGCTTTTTGGCGCAAACTTATTGACATAATCCAGAATGTTGACATAAAATCTTTCAAAATGCAATCTTGCTTTTCGTGGGACAAGTGAGAGACTCGAAAATAGCAATAAGGTAGATTTTCTCTGAGTCATTGAGCTCTTGTTAAAATATGATCCAATGTTGCACTAATCGCTTCAGCTTCTCCAAGGTGCGGCAAAATACTGAAGTCTGTTGTTGTTTCTTATCCCACTTGGATGGCCAAGCCCACGAGCCCATACGTACTCATGATTGAAGGGGAATCTGATAGCATGCTTCTGTTGTGATGGAGCACCCGTAGGTAGAAGCCTGACTTTGGCTCCGTGACGCTCTTACAGTCATAGGAGACCGGGACCTACGGCTTAAAGTGGATTCCGAACAAACAACCATGGCACCGCCGGGATTCGAACCCGACACCAGTGGCACCGAGCGTTAGACATACTCGGCCATTACGGTCCCAAATGTGTGAATGCCAACGGCACGCGGTGTTCCCAGGTGGTCACCCACCCAAGTACTGACCAAGCCCAATGATGCTTGACTTCGGTGATCTAACGAGAACCGGTATATTCAGCATGGTATGGCCGTTGGCTTCATACTGAAGTCTAAAAATGTGAATTGAGCTCATAAACTTTTTGAAAATCTGAAGTTAAAGATAAAAATCACTCGAGAACTTCAAAATGCCCAATTTGTTTTCATTAATTGTGAATGCACCCCGAGATGTTGTCTAAAATTGTGCAATTGAGTGAAGTTTACAGATATGTGAAAACAGTGAACTGCGAAACAGGAAAACCTGCTGAATGTAGTAAAATTTATGAAGTTTTTTCGCACTTAGTAAAATAAAAATTTAATCATCAAAGGACCTTGAAGAAGAAATCACTGAAATCAAGAAAAGGTTTGCATCGAACAAAACTTCATGGACAAGGACATGAATGGTGCACCAGTAATGAATGTACACAGTCCAGTCACATTAATGTGACCACCTGTCAAAAGCCAGAATATCAAAGAAACATAGAAATTTGCATTTTTAAGCAGTTCCAAAATGTATATTTCGATATTAGTCATATCATTATTCACCGAGAACAATAGAAAACAACGTACCACGCTGTATCGTGTAACACGAGAAAGACACCGAAAGTTTCAAACCCGATTCGCTGCAATTAGAGTTCATGCCTTAAAGCAGGGGTCTGCAAAAACTTCCAGCCTTAGGGCCATACTGTTTACTCCAGTAAGTACCAAGAGTCAAAACCGTTTTAATTTTTCTGCTTTTGTCTATAATTTCTAGACCAGTCGCCGAGTACGCTCTCTGAACGAGCATACGCTTGCTAACTACAAACTATTCTCAGTGAAAAATCCCAATTACACAAATCTTATTAGTATTTTCTTTACAAGTGGATACCCCACGGTTTCATTGGCATTAATTTAGCTTTTCCGTTCCTGAGGGATTTTCAGGATAGAAATCATATGTTCGATTCAGGATATATACATTCCAAACATCGATATAATATACATATGCGATACTCTTTACCCCAACACAACTACCGAGGGTAACCCGGGATGTTCACTAGTTTATAATGCTAGTGGGATTGTTTTGAATTATTTATTAGTTGCTATGCTTAAGTTAAATTTTCCGCGTATTATGCTTGCCAGTAAGCTTTACCTATCAAGTCAATAAAACCGAGTTATTATCATTCTGTGTTTTTTTTTATCCAACTTATTACAGCAACAATAATCTGTTCATTGTCGCGGGCCGGAATGATGACACTGGCGGGCCGTAGTTTGGAGAACCTGCCTTAAAGCATAAGTTAGTGATGATGTGATGAAATGTCTCAACTTCATAATTTTCACTAACGAAAAAAAAAAAAAAAAGAGGGGGGGGGAGGAATGAAGCGATACAACTAATATCAAAGTTTGAATGAATGACAGGGCCAGCACGATATCCGGACCTTAATCTTATAGAGCAACTTTGGAATTACTTTGACAGACAGACTGGAATCTATTCTATCTCTTGGTGATACTTATCTGTATGTGCTCCATGGAGGAACCATGACTTTTGTAAGATATCAGGAAGCGATCTATAATTCATGTCTCATATTATTATTATTATTATTTTTTTTTTTTTTTTTTTTGTTCTAATGCAGCTGGCAAACACTTACAGTTGTCTTTGATGGCGTAGGGCAAGCTCTACACCGACGTTATTCACTTCACACTACTCATGAGGTGCGTGTACCTTGAAGAAAGCTACGGACGCGGAGTAACAATACCCCTGCGACATTCTACAAACATGTTAGACCGGGACACACGGCTAAATGTGGATTCCAAACCAAACACCCATGCCACCGCCGGGACTCGAACCCGAAACCTGTGGTAAAGAAAACTGAAACTTTATCTTGTATTTCTACTAACATTAATTATGCAGCCAATTAAAATTTAAAGCATATCTATTAATTAAGATAGAAGGTTTAAGGGGTATTTCCCCATGTTGGTACTCCGTAATCGGTACGCCAGTTGCCAGAACTGACAAGACTGTTTCCAAAATTGTGACCAACACGGGAGTTTAAAGGGTAGGCATATTGCTTTTTCCTGCAAATCGCCAAAGTTTCCTTCTTCCAATTCTATTCCGAGGTCTACAAGTGATACATATGTTGGGATATTGGTTGGTGGAGATCTTCTCATGGTAAAGAAATGCATTAATTGGAACACCCATGATCGCCTTGATATTTGCCAATTCTCTTGCAATATCGAAATGATTAGTGGATAAAATCAGTTTCCCTTATCAATTTATACGCATATAGTCAATGTGCTTCAAGGTAGTAACTTTTGACATTATGTTAACGTATTCTTTAGATGTGCTTTCGGTATTACGCCATTTGGAACTTCAAATACATCCAAAAAGAAAAGTGCGCCATGTTGGTATGCAATTTTAAAAAAAATGTTACGATGAGATATGAAATTAATGTCTGCGTCGGATGTTGTAATCAGTAAGATTAGGGTTTATAGTGCCGTTTGCCATACCAAACCCTAAACACGCCCACACTGTTCTTGAATTGCATGTATTTACTAATGAAAATGTATAATTTGAATTCAAACAAAAAATATATACAAATACAAGTGTCTTACCTGAAGTGAAAACTAAATTAAAAATGAAATAAAAGCTATACAACCACAGAAACTTGGCACAAAATCAAATGGATAAACAGATAAATGCAACGCTTAACTTTGTCTTCTAATACACAAAAAACCAAGAGAAAGGAAAGGGGTGTAGTTTGATATAAACATTGGAATCAATAGCGGAGGTTCGGCAAAAGTGATGTTTTGTGTTCGAGCAGTGTTCTCTCATTGGACTTTGGAAAAATGTAAATAAACCTCCAAATGGCGGAGTTAAATAATTATAGCAACCATCGTACCGATTACGGAGTACCAATGGGGATACACCCCTTAACCTCCTATCGTAATTCATGTATAAAATTTACGATTATTAATTGGCGGCTTAATGTTAGTATATGATAAAAAATAAAGTTTCTAAAAATTTAAAAAGTAAGGGAAAAAAAAAGTTAAGATTAAAAATTCGGTACAATCAGGGACCAGTTGTCGATGCCATAAAAAATATTGTACAAGATTAAAATTGTGATTGCTGAACGTGTGGGTCTAAGCGACGGATCTGTAATAAAAGCATAAATATCCCCCCCTCAAAAAAAGGCCGTTCTCAGTACCAAAGTTATGGTATTTTATTTGTTAAAAATGTGTCTAATCCTTTAACTTCTTTACCAAAAAAAAAATATATAAAAAAACCCTAACTGAAGTCACTGGTCGCTAAAAGAAATGAAGTGCACATCACCTAGATCAGCTTCTTTACCAGTGCACCAGTTCGTCTTAAAGGAAGACCGCAAATTTTTTAAGCCAAAGGGGCTCTTAAATACATGAGATTGTCTCAGTGGATGTTTAAATCCACTCCAGTACCCGAATCAACTTGCTCAGAATAACAGCCATGGAACTAAAGTACTGGCTAATAATAGAGCACCGGTGTTTTCTGGTATTTATTAGCGTAATCCGGGAAATTAAATAGCTATGAATTTTTAATAAAGGTTTTTAGCACAGTTTAGGTTCTTGATTAAGGAATTCGCAGCAAAAATGAAGTTGGGCATCAGTTATTTGAATGAGCATTTTTGTATTGAAAGACCTGCAATTTCTTCAGTCTGGTCATGCCAGTATTTATCCATATTGGAGATGCATAAAGAAGACACAGTCTGACCGAGGTGTAAATATAGTGTTTCCAATCGAAAAGTTGCTTCCCTAATTGGTTAAAGATCTTAGTTTTTTTATATTTAAAGAGTAGCACGGATTTAATTTTGTATGTGTGAATTAAACTAAAGTTTACGAACAAGTGATGAAGTCCGAGATACTTGTATTCCGT